TTTTTTTTTTTTTTTTTTTGAGAGAGGGTCTCACTATGTAGTTGAGACTGACCTGGAACTCACTATGTAGCCCAGACTGCTCTTGAACTCACAGTGATCCGTCTGCCTCAGCCTCCCGAGTGCTGGGATTACAGGTGTCCACCACCACGCCTGGCTTGGACACTTTCACTTTCATCATTGTATTTGATGGTCATGGAGTAAGCTAACCGAGTGAGATGCATAATCGAAGTCACGGTGATAATAACAACCACACCGGCCATGAAATGAGTGTGTGCCAAGCTCTGTGCCGCACCCTTTGCATGACTGTGTCACTGACGCCTCATTACCTCATTTTAAAGATGGCACAACTAGAGTTTAGGAAGGAATTGGATCAGATCGCCACAGCTGATCCAAGTGGGATTCGAACTCATGTGTGTGGCCAAAAGTCCCTAATATTAGCCATATGTAGTGTTGCATCCCTGTAATCCTACTACATTGGCAGACTGAGGCAGGAGGATTGCAAGTTCGAGCCTAGCCTGGGCAATTTAGTGACTTAGCGAGACCCTTTTCAAAAAATAAATAAAATAAAATAGGGCTGGGATGTAGCTCAATGCAAAGGCCCTAGGTTTGATTCCCAATACAGAAAAAAAGTTACCTGTTATTTATCCCTGCATGGCACTGCCAAGCAATCTTTGTACAGCACTTTGCAAACACTCTACCATGTACTGTGATCCCCATTTTGGTTTTTTGTTCTATTTTGGTTTTGAGGGGTAGGAGTTGAGATAAGGTCTTGTTAGGCAGTTTAGGCTGTTTTCGAACTTGCTCTATAGCCCAGGGTAACCTTGAACTTGCAGCAATCCTCCTGCCTCAGCTTCCCAAGTACTGGGATGTGATCTCAGCTTTATAGAAAGAGAAACTAGAGATATTAAATGATTTGTGGCAGTCTCAGAGCCAGGATTCTCAGTGTTCTGATGCTGGTCCTGTCTGCTGCAGTCTCCACTGTCTGTACCAGCCTCTGTCTCCCAACTAAAGGCTCTCAGTGTCCAAACTCTTGAGGCTCCAGAACGGGAAGTTCTTCTTATGATCTTTCAAAAATCTTTCCTTCTGCAATGAAATTGGCCTCTTCCCTGGAGGCTGAGCTCTTTGTCACATCATGTGCTGGCTTGGAAGAAGGAGCTACAGTTCATGGCCCTCAAATCATGTCCAAATCAACCCTTCTCCTTGAGTTTCTTGAGCCTTTGTCATAGGGAAGTGTTTAGTCTGTCTCATTCTTTTCCTTTCAGAAAGGCAGGAGTTTTGAGGCTGCAAAACTGGAGACGATGAAAGAAAATAGAATGAGAGGCAAGAAAACCATTTAAACCCAAGTAGGTGAAAGACACAAGGAATTAAAATACACCTTTTGGATGTATAGGCAAAGAGTTGGTTTGTGAAGACCATTAGACAATCAAAACTAGTATTTTCCCCTTTAGAGATAACGCTTTTTATTTATAAAGCAGTACTTGCTGGAATGAGTTCAAAGCATTTAATGGATGCTGGTTCATTACCCCACCCAACAAACAATGTGGCAGCCAAGAAAGGAGAGAGGTAATTATCCCCATTTTCCAGGTTGGGCGATTAAGCCACAGGTGCAGAGCCTTGCTCAAAATCAAAGCTGAAGATAGAAGGTAGACTCCCTGCTAGCCCCTTCCCTCCCACCCTGTACAGGTTTCCTGCTCACAGATGTCCTCCTGAGATAGGACAGCCCACTTGCTGCTCACAGAACAGCATCTGTTGTTCACTGGGAACTACAGCTCCCAGCAGACACTGAGCAGAGACCGGGCTGTGCCCTGAGTGCCCATTCCAGATTCCCAAATATGGAGAAGGACTGGATCTTGGAAGAGGAACAGAATGCTTACCCTTGAGAGAGAGAGGGGGAAGATGAGGTAAGTTTGAAATATTTAACTCTATCACCTAAACATCTGCCCGGTCTTTGAACTGTGGCTGCCAAAGTCCTGATGAATCTCTCTAGCTGATCTCACTTTTTAAGATCAAGTGATGAGCCCAGCGGAACGCTGTTTTCTTGTAGGATGAGGTGCATGACAGCAGGGTGGTTGCAGTCCTAAGAGGTCAAACGCCCTTTTTCTGAGTCTGAGCAGCTCGGAAAGCGATGGAGACGAGGGGAAGAAGCTGGCATAGAGCTGCTTGTGGTGCTGGGAGTGCTCCAGAGGCTGGCGTGTGGGCTGCTGAGGCAGAGGACAGCAGCCCCGGAAGACAAGGGTTACTCTTTCTCTGCCTGGTAGGGGAGGGATGAAAGGAGAATTTACACCAGTCCTGTCTTCATTCTGCCAGCAAATGTTGATTAAGCATCCACACTGGAGGCACTGGGCTAGGCGCTGAGGGAGATGCAAAACCAAAGCCAGATCTCTGCCCTCAGGAGACTCACAATGGGAGGGAGGGCACAGAGCTCAGAAGGGCAGAGTGGAGAAGACAGCAGGAGGTGGGGTGTGATGAGTGCTTTTCATTCAGTTTATTGACAATGTCCACCATGGGCCAGGCATTGTTCTGAGCCACCTGGGACAGGCCAGAGATGTGCCAAAAGAAAAAGCCTCTGCCCTTCTAGATGTTGCTTTCTGGTAACCCTGGTTTTGGGGAGAGGGGTCTGAGCAGCGGGAACAGTGGTGGGTGCAGAGGTGGGAGGTGAATGCGAGTCCAGAGGGTCTGAGAGCAGAAGGCTGAGCTGCCGGAGGACAGTGTACCGGGTGAGGTTGGTAGGAGTTGAAGCCAGAGGCCAAGGCTGGAAGCAAATGGTGCAGGACCTCAGAAGGACAAGAATGAATTTCCCTCTTACTGTAATGGGAAGCCATGGTTTCTAAGGTTTGGAGTGAACTGGGCCAGAGGATTTCAGAGAGTGGGGGAGAAGTGCCATAGGCCTGGGGTGACAGGGAAGGCTTTCTAGCAGAAGGGGTGTTCAGATAAACTTTCTGATGTAGAGAGAAGGCGCC